TGAAACGTAAGATAAAGTTAGCTCGAACGAGACCATGATCAGAGTCCAGGTAAATATTCCACGGGGAGCACAATTCTTGTACACAACCACGCCAGCAGCAGCTAATCGCCATGTGGCCGATCTGGGCCCAGGCTTGAGATGCAAGGGGAGAATACCAGGTAATACACTGGCGATGACTGTGCCAAAAGTTGGTTCTGGTCGAAAGTAGAACCAACAAATCCTGTTTAGACACCCAAAGGACTCTTAAGTATATAGAAACCCAACTTGCACATTGTAATCTCCAGCTATCATTACAATGTTCACCAAACGGGTTTTCTTTAGACCATTTAATTGGTGCTAAACTCATCCTTGATTTCATCTGGACTGAAATCGATTCGGGCATAGAGGGGGGTGAGCAAAGAACATTGTTTTCTAAATCCCACTTTGACGTAGCATTCTTACATCGCTTCATGTAGTCGACTGGCAATGAGGATTCAGTCGACTAGTACAGCCTCTTCTCTGAGGCTTAGTGTGTCACTTACGCCATCAAATCTAGATAATGTTGTCACAGTGTTTTCGTGCGTCTACGCATAAAACAGTCTTGTTGCATTTTCAGATGGGCAGCGAATTTATAGTGCTTTACTAAGGTCTTGAATACGGTTCTCGGATAGACAGTAAGAGTCGATATTCACACTGTCCAAAGATATAGCCAAAACATTCTGTTACACGATCTGTATCAGTGTGCAAACGCTGAAGTATTATTTGTTTATTTATTTGAACACATACATATTGGTACAAAACTGCGCCAAATATATATGCGCCACACAAAACAATGAGAATTTAAAGAGAAGGAAAAAGAAAAAAGGCAAGGAAGGTAAAAAAAAGAATAATAAGGAAGAGATTGTTGTAAGGTATTGTAATAATAATAGTGGTAATAATGGAGAAACGGAAAGGTACAATCAGAAGAAATCTTTCAGTTAAGGAGGAAACAACCACTTTTTATGTAGAAAGTAAAGGAAGGTTACAGCAGGATCGCCACTGGCTTCTATTCTGAGCCATGTCTGATAACGTCTCTAGCCACTGTGTAGCACCATCTCTAAGACACCAGCCAGGGAGTCGTGAAGGACCAACAGAAGCCAGCCCTTCGCAGCTTTCTTTCATACCACGACACCATGTCATACACTGAACACCTCTCCGTTTTTTCCAACCAGTCCCAGCATCGTCAAATAATGCACGACGTGGAATTCTCTGGGACGACATTCGTAGAACATGTCCGAGCCACCGAAGTCGGTGTTACAAAATGGTGAAACCAATTGCATTATCATCTCTGTGCCCGAACACACGATGCCGAACCTCTGCATTACTAACATGGTGTTGCCATTGGATGTCAGCAATCCTTCGGAGACAGCGATGATGGAACACAGAGTCGTTTAACGTCCTGATCTCCGAGAGGCCAGGTTTCACAAGCATAGAGCAAAACTGCTCTCATCGACGCGTTGTAGATTCGACCTTTTACAGCCAGACTGACATCGCGAAGACGCCAAAGGTGGCCCATATTGGCATAAGCCGCTCTGGCTTTCACTATACGTGTGTTGATCTTATCACTCACGCCACCACCACCACTTATGCAGCTACCTAGATACACGAACCTCTCGACTACTCCTATCTGCTCACCACCCACGGTAAGTACAGGATTGGAATCCTGCCAGTCTCGTATAAGTACTTTGCATTTCGAAGGTGCAAAGCACATACCGTACCTACGGACATTGGTTGCCAACTGATTAAGTGCGGATTGCATGCCTTGTACATTATCGCGCAGTAAGACAATATCATCCGCATACTCAAGGTCGAGAAGTCTTTTTCTAGGCAACAGATCCACACCGCCATTACTTATATTCATCAAAGCTGTTTCCAGAATGCCATCGATGGCAAAGTTGAAGGGCAATCGTGAGATTGGGCAACCCTGCCTAACCCCACTGCTCGAATGGAACAATGGAGAGAGGTGGTTGTATTCCCTCACTCTGCCTGAGGTGTTTGTACATAGGGCCTTTAAGATGTTAATAAACTTCTCAGGCACGCACTTCTTCAATAGACAATGCCAGAGTACAGTCCTGCCCAACGAATCGAAGGCAACCCTGATGTCAAGAAACACTACGATTGTTGGCCTTTGATAAGTATGGCGGTGTTCTAACATTTGGTGGAGGGTGAATATATGATCAATACATCCTCGACCGGAACGAAACCCAGCCTGCTCCTCGCGAGTCAATCTTTCGGGTTTTGAACAACCTACGAAGTATGACGGAAGCCAATAGCTTGGACGCAATCGGAAATAGAGTTATTCCCCGATAGTTGTTACAGAAACGACGTGAACCCCTTTCAAAGATAGGGACAACTATCGACTCATTCCATGACGTTGGTACACTCTCTAGCTCCCAGACCTTTGTAAACAACGTCGTCAGTTCCTTAGCCAGAAAGTCACCACTATCTTTAAAAAGAGACAGAGGTAAGTCATCTGGTCCAGGTGATTTGTAGCGCTTCAAGAATTGGAGTTCCTTGCGGACTTCCACCTCATTTGGTGGATCAGTCGTCACTGGTCATGGAGGGCAAGACAGTCTGGCCGATGTTGCCGGAGCAGCAGGTCAGTTGAACTGCCCTTCAAAAAATTCTGCCCATCTTCCAAGACGTCGATGGATGTTAGTGACTGGCATACCGTCATCCTCGTAGATTGTTTCGCTCACACCAGACTTCTCGCTGCCAGTGGCTCGGATGAGTTGGAAGAGCTTGCGGTAGTTACCAGATGCAGCTACTGCTTCCAGCTCATTAGCACGCTCCGACCACCAGGCTTCTCAGTCCTTATACAAACTTTGCCCAGTTTCGTTACGTAACATCCTTCGTTTGTGGTCAAACTCACGGTCACCCGGAGTAGACCGACGGGTGGGCTTCAATAAGTTGTAAGGAACCAGAAGAAACGCAGTGCTTATAAGCGGGACGTTTCGCAAACCCACAACTGACTGTACCCGCCATTTTCATGGCGTCATGCAATTGCAATCAATGCTCATCTATACTTTTCGGTGGAATGGTAGCTAGCCTAGAAGCTAGCTGGGTTCAATACTTACCTGCAACAGAAGTTGCAATCAGCTTGCTAACATCAATCCGTTGGTGGCGGTCACTTCGTTGGCCACTGAAAAGTGAGGTAAGATTGGCGCAGACCAAGGCATGGTCAGAGTCCAGATAGGTACTCCAAAAGGAGCGGTAGTCTTTTACACAACCACGCCAGTGGTAGCTGATCGCGATGTGATCAATCTGAGTCCAGGCTTAAGATGCAGAGGGAGGAAGCCAGGTGGCTTATCGGCGATGACTGTGCCGGAAGTTAGTGCTAGCCAGAAATAGGTTGTGGTTTTTGCACAGTTGCTGTAGACGGTCCCAGTTATCTGTCCTGCGATCAACAAGTCCCCATCGGCCACCTAAACGACTCTCTTCTGTACCATAATATCTATCGAACGCACTTTCTAGAGAAGAACAGTTAACTGGTGGTAGAATTCATCCTTGACCGCATCCGGGCTGCAATCTATCAAGGCATAGCCGAAGATGACGAAAAGACATCGTTTCTCACGCCGATTTCTTCTCACTTTGCTGGAACTTTCTAATCTAACAGCACATAACCGACTGTTAATGGAAATCCAATCGATTAGTGCTGCTTCAGCTTTAGTGTTTAGTGCGACACCAATGTCAGCAAGACCAGACGAAGATGCCACAGGGTCCCCGGATAAGCGCACGTAAAACAAGCTTTTCGAAGCGACAGATGGAGAGCGAATTTGTAGTACTTCACCAGAGTCTTGAATACGGGTCTCGGCTAGTCAGCAAATATAAATATTAAGACTTTCTAAAGACATAGCCAGCCCTATCTGTTGTCCAGCCTGCTTAAGTGTGCGAACGTTGAAGGTAGCCAGTTTGGATAGTGCACATGGTTTCAGAAAAACTGCTTCAGTATTCGTATTCGGTGGTAGCATACAATTTTCAACCGGACAGTGACTCGAGAACGTTTAGAGAGAACCGAGTTTCTACCATAGGCAAGCTGCTGTGTATTTCGAAAAATAAGGATACATAAGGTAGGAATAAAAGAGTGAATAAATGATGTAGTAAATAATCATAGTAATAATAATAATAATTTGAATCATTTGATTGTTAGTCGAAGCAAGAAAAATAGTTTCCATAAATTTAGACGTTTCATCGTATTTGCGTGTAAGCTGTAATACTGCCCGGGAGCCCAGACCGAGGCAGGTGGTTTTCTTGGGGGGACACATCCCTAGCTTTTGACCTAAAGTTCTGACCGACAAGGCAGTGGAGCATCGTGAGGAGATGCAGTCCCATGGTATCCGGTGACTGAAAATTGTTTCATGCGCCATTTGTTACTGCAGGATACTGGAGCCCACGTGCACCATTGATTTGGTTTGGGATCCGATCAAAGCCTGTTTGAATGGCACACGTCGGTTCAGAAAAGCTAATTCATAATTTTTTTTCATTGGTAACAGTGAATTTTCGACCAGTCAGTGGCTGAAGTTCGTTTTATGTAGAAAGAAATTTCCACTTTAGGCGAGCTTTGAGAATTGGAAAATAAAGAGCAAACACAACGGTAATGAGAGAGAATAGAAAAATAGGGAACTTTAGAATTACTTTGTATTTAATTAAGTAAATAGAATAGTCGTTTGTGTAATTAATAGGTTCAGACAAAAGGATTTCGTTCATTAGTAATCATCATAGTTGTGTGCTGGCTCAAATACTACTCGGGTACCTAGACTGAAGTAGGCTTTGTGCAAATATATCCACCTCTTTTTCGGAAACTCCCTGCTGTAATTATAACTACGTGCCAGGATCTCATCTTTGCTTAAGAGAAATCAAACGAAATCTAGTGGTCACCATCGTACATTAGATTCAAGGAACTTGATTTTATTGCCCATTATTACAAAAGTTAGTGCTAAGCTTGTAACAGTCTGTTTTTATTTTTCATCTAGATACTAAGTATGACTGAAAACGTGAACGAAAGTTGTGTCTTCTTTAAAAAGCGTAGTCGAAAAAATATACGACAAAAAGAGGGTATTCATTTTGCATAAATTTTATTTTGAGAAAGGTTCTTCTAGTGAAGATGAAGCAGTCATAAAAACTCAGAAAAGACGTCAAATTAATAATATGCTGTATCAACAGGTTTGCTAATGATAACTACAATATACAGTTTTAGACTTCAAAGTTTAGTGGTAACAAAAACTGCTCATCTGATGATGATTCTGATAACAGCACTCCTAATACCGTCACTTATAAGGCTTCTCATTCTAAGGTACATTTTTTATAATAATATTTAGAATTTTCAAGGAATCTAGGATAACAAAAGAGCGTATTGCAACTGCTACTGTGGAGATCGATACCGATGTGAAATGTGATGCACAAGCTATCTTTGAAAAAGCTCAAAAATTAAACCAGGTGCGTTTTCTACTTCATTTGTAGAACCATTATTCGTGTTTTCAGGAATCTCAGAATCGTAATATATATAAGGGACTCAACAATTATGCTCAGTACATTGAGAAGAAGGACACTATCATGGGCAATGCATCTAGTGGCTTCAACCGTAAAGGTCCTATGCGAGCACCAGCCAATTTAAGAGCTACTGTAAGATGGGATTATCAACCGGATATTTGTAAAGTGTGTATATTTGTTTTGGGCCTTAAGTTATTTACATTTTAGGACTACAAAGAAACAGGATTTTGTAGTTTTGGGGATAGCTGCAAGTTTCTTCATGACAGATCAGACTATAAACATGGTTGGCAAATAGAACAAGAATTAGCCGAGGGAGTGTATGGAATTGATGGTGAAGACAATCGTTACGAAATATCGCACAACTCTTCTGAAGACGAAGGCTTTGAAGATATTCCATTATTTTGCATGATTTGTCGCAAAGACTATAAAGACCCAGTTGTAACCATGTAAGTGTCATTTGATTTATCTGTCTAATTCTAAAGATGTAAACATTACTTTTGTAGTGATTGTGCTCTTCAGCGATATAAAAAGACTGCACGGTGCTACGCATGCACTACAGATACCAAAGGCTTCTTCAAATTTGCCAAGAATCTATTGTCCCGTATTACTATACTGCGTGAAAAAAAGAGGAAGCATTCTGAATTAAGCGAAAGTGATCATGAAGATCAACATCATTCCTGTTCGCATTCTCCTGTTCAATGTAAAGGAGAACAAAGTGATAAAGGTGACTTTCTTAACAAAAGTGTGGAGACTGGTTGGGTTCCAACCAATAAAGTCCAACTTCCAAAATCATCAGAGCCGAATTGGGCCAAACCCGAAGCACCAGAATATTGCGATTCCGATGAAGAAAGCGATTAAAACGTTACCGTTACACACAAATATGTATATACATCTGAAATACACAATTAAAATCACTCAACTTTTTTTCCCTTCATTTTGTTCCGCTTGCTTATTATCTGAATTTTTTTTAGGACAATGGATGATTTTTATGAAGTTTTAGGGTGTACCATGGATGCTACAGAAGACGAAATCAAACGAATTGTTAACGAAGCTCGACTTAAGTTCCATCCAGATAAAAATCCAGATGTTTCAAATAGAAAATTCTTGGTCGTAGAAAGGGCATGGAGTGTTTTGCGATATCCAGAAAAACGTAAAGCTTATGACGCTTTGTTGAGACAACATAAAATTATATCTCATTCCGCTGGGTTGCCTATACAGTCTGACGTATCATTTGACCAATTTCATGATGAAAGCGAATCCGTTCATGACGTAGATTTACAATCCCACAATCAAGTGTGTCACTGTTATTGGTTTCCTTGTCGCTGCGGTGGAAGTCATGTCTTAGACGACCTTGCTGTACTATGCCAAGTCCCGTATGCAAAGTGTACAAACTGTTCTTTACTCGTGCATGTTTCATACCCTGAATCTCACTGATCAAAAAATGTGCTTTTCTGTTATTTGTGTTTTCTTATTGTGTTGCGTTTTTACGAATATATATGTATATATTTCTGTAATAATTGTTTTATCAAATCCCATTGGATTCATCTTGCTTATCTTTTAGATTTTACTAATTTTAGATGTCTTCAGACGCGAATGATGAATTCGATGTTCGCTCTGCCCCTCCGCCTTTCAAGGGAGTAGAAAAAGATAAAGTCGAGACGAGAAAGCGACAAGCACTGTTTCTCCGTCAAGCTTTACGCATCGTTGAAAGATTCGCTCACAATCCTGTGGATACTGATATGCTAGCTTTTGCTGTAAGTAATAATACAGATATCGGGTTAGTCGTTTTTTGTATTTTCGACGATTCTTTTTGTTTCATCAATCGAATGTACTCATTTATTATGAGTGAAATTTTCTAATTCTCATATATCCAATGAATGTGTAAACGTAATGGAGACCATTAACATAAATATTTTTTGTATTCATTTGTACTCTTTCTTAGGAAACGCACATATTCGAAGATAGGAAAACTTGCATTATAACTAAAATTGATTCTATGTGCACACGTTCTAGGAAACCTATGTTGTCACGTGTATTGAGGTTAGTAGTGTGTACCCTTAAATTCAAACTCAGTAATCTAGATGTTACGTGCTTGCCGCGAGACCTGAGGGTTTCATATACGACCTGTGCTTTGTTCATAAATTCTTGTTGTTGAGGTGTTCCATAACGAGGAAAACTAGCTGTCTGATCTTTTCTGGTTTTTAGTGACTATTCAACTAAAGTCAAGCTTTAACAAGAATCCGAAATTATTTCACTGGTCGTTGACAAAAATTGGCTTGTCAGGATGTATCCTGCATATCAAGACTATATATTAATTGATGATACCTGAATAAAAATATTTGTGTTTTAATATGGCATTTCCTTAAGAGTGTTTTCTCAAACTTATTGGTCTTGGGAAGCAGTCAACACTGATTAGATCTAAAAATGGCCTAAGTTCTAATTCACCTCTCGAAACTAACTAGGATGGCAGCAGTATTCTTCTAAATGCAATAAACTGCTCTAGTAGTGATGACTTATCAAACATTCTTAGTATAGTTTCTTTGTCTTCCAGAAACTTCGTAGTCCACTTCCGTGATGTTTATTTTTCAGGAAATAAGCACCATGTAGAATACCGCAGATAGGTCAAATTTGAACTAGGCATCATATCAAGTCAAGGTGACTTCAACTCAGCCTGTTCCAATTCAAATTTCACTATTTTATTAGAAATTTTTGTTATCTGGATGTCGTATAACAAGTCGTTAGCGAGATTAGAATGAGTCCATAAATTAATTGTTGGATCATTATACAGTCGATTTATAATGTAGTTTTTAAACATTCATCACACAGTAAGCTTTGAAGATTTTTTTTGTACATGAAAATGTTCTAAATGAAACTATAAATATTACTATTTTCTTAGTTTATTTAACGAAATTTATATTCAAGTGATGACGTTTGTGTTTTCCCATCAATTTAGTTACCATGGTTGGAACGTGAACAATATGATGATATCTCGATAGAGCGAAATGCTTATGGAAATTGTGGTTATGTATTATGTTCCAAGCCGAAAGGTCAAACCACTAAACAAAAGTACCGTATCTGCACAACCACTCGGAGAGTATACGATATTACCAAGCGTCAAGTGAGTCTCACACATTGGTTTATTTTTTGAGAAATAATATCATGGCAAATTATAGGTTAGAAAGGTTTATTTAGCGGTCATTCAGTATGTAACAGGGTGTAAGCCAAGGTTCGAAATAGCATATCTTATGACTTATTGATAATTATACGTGCATTTTAGCGGTAACGAGGAAAGAGTTATTTCCAAAGTATGTGGAAAATTCAGATTTTTTAATATGTTTGTTCAAAAATGTTGAATTCCTTAGTTTCGTCACCAAAGTTTGACTTGATGATTTCAAAAGAATTGAGCATCAGATAAATTGTTAATCACAAAAATAATGGTAAGTTTGTCACATCCCAAAGAGTACTTACTTACTTGTTTGTTATATTGTCCGCACCGTTGTTCAGTGCATCTTGAGTTTCAATTTCATTTTGGCGATCATTACGTGATTATCTTAGGCTATATCAGCTCTTCTCTTGGTTGTCACTTTCTGCATCGTTCACCTATAACCGGTTTATTGAGGGCACATAGGTTTGCAAATCTCTCATCATTTTCGTCCCTTTCTCCCAGTCCGTGTCGTCCCATGATGTCTTCATATCCGGTGTTGTCCATTCCAACCTTGGCATTTCAATCTCTCATCAGAATAATCAGGTCCTTTGTTGGACACTTCTCAACGATTGACTACAGCCTAGTGTAGAATTGATCTTTAGCGTCTTCATTGTAGTCGTTGGTAGGTGCATAGCATTGGATGATGTTCATTGAGATGCCCTCTTTCTTTGTTTTGAAGGAGGCTTTGGTGATCCTTGGTCCATGAGATTTCCATCCTATAAGTGCATTCTGTGCTTGTTTGCACAGCATCAATGCAACTCCTTGTGTATGTGGGACATTTTCTTCTTGATGGCCGGAGTATAACAGAAGCTCTCCTGAAGCTAGTCGTTATTGTACAACTTGCGTCCAACGTGTTTCACTGATCCCAAGCATATCTAATTTGTATCTCCTCATTTCTACAGCAATTTGGAAGACTCTCCCGGTCCCCCACACTGTACGAGTATACCATGTACCTAAATAGATTGTTGTTCTGTTTGTTAGAAGGAGTGTCAGCATCGTGACCTCCGAAGGAACTCGGCTTTCATCATGAGGCATCATAACTCTTCCAAATGAGGACCTTCTGACTCTCAGGACAGAGTTTAAATAGTTTTTTCTGGTTGGAGCTTTTTTAGCGAGTTAGTTTTCTACGGTATGGGTCGCTAACCTCCAGGCGGAGTTATCCCAAAGAATAGAAGGTCCTATTTCTAACCGAATCGTTTTTTCTGAAGAAGTTATTTACAACACACTGCGAAACGTCAGAAGTTCATTTTTATATTGACTGGGGTGTAACGAATTTATCATTATTTTTGTTGCTGAACCTACGACTAATTCCTGATAAGCTTATATTACTAGATTTATGTGCTCAAGAATACCGCCTTTCAAGCAGCCTGTTGTTGACTTGAGAAAAACGAACATGATATTATTGTACATGGATCCTGGGATAACTTATTGTGTTAATTAATATCTCATACACTATCGAGTCAGTTGTGATTTTTGGTGTAACAATGTACACAGAAGCGAAGGCTAACGTTAAAGGATCCAGATTGTTCGGAATTCGTAGTACATCAGATACTCATCCACATGACGTTTTCAGGATTCATCGTTAACGGCGGACCCAGTGGTTAAGGTGAAACATAGTATTACAGAGGTCAGTGCTTCAAAGCTCTGTCTATCATAAACGTGTGAATTTCATAGACTATGAGTCTTGATGAATTATGTCGTGCTTAACCACTAGAAATAGGTTTTATTTTTGTAAACGTTTTGAGAATGTCCGCACTTCCCAGTCTCTATAATCTTAGTTTTAGAAGGAGGTTTGTAATCTAGTAGACTTTTTATTGCTATTCAATTTTAAATCTCCCGATTAAATCTACTGACTTTGTTCATCGTAGCCATTTTGCTCAGACTGGTGTTACCGTGCTTCATGTTACATACGCAAACAGATTTCTAAAGAACCAGCATGGTGCCGTTCAGCAGATAGTTTAAAACCATGTCACATAAGTTTGTTACCTCCTAATGCTCCAGGACATGTTGGTAAAGTGATTTTAGATGTACAGAATCGTTTACTCTTAAATGGATCTGAAAGTGATTCAAGTATTGAAAACGAAATTAATGTGAATGCTGAATCCGAATCTATTGACTTGTCGAGTAGTACATTGGAATATTCACGTAAGGAACTCGAGAAACTGGCACTTGGAACAAATAATGAAAATAGCATCGTAGTTCATGACATTTGTCTACGTGCATTAGACTCTGTTGAATCTACAGTCATATCTTATGATGATCAGTCAGAAATGTATCTCAAGTCTCCATCAGATTGCGAACAACTGTTGGATAACCAAAATATTTCTACTAATGTATGCGACAAACTTTCAAAACGTTTACAAGAGTGGCTAACTGAAAAAGCCTATGTGATTCTCACCACCTATACATTTACATCTGAGGAACCAACTTCGGTTGATGGGTTACATAGCAAAATTTTGCAGCAATTTTTCTCAAAACATGTATCATCAATCCGGGGGAAAACTCAATTTTCTGACGTAAGTCGGTCGCCTTTTTATCTGCTTTCTATTACAGTATCATTCCTCAGTATATATGCTTACCACATAATGTGTAAACAAACTGTTACGTGCTTTTAGTCCAAAGCTATAGTTTTATTTTAGATATGGTCGATAGGTGAGGAAAAATATTTTCCTTGACGAAACTAACAAAGTAATTTCGTTTTGAAACTAAATAGGATGTAATGATTTACTGATTGTGACTAACCAGTCTGTCCGCGCTTCGACTTTCACAGAGTAAATATCCCAGTCCTTCAAATATTGACTACTATGACAGGATAGAATTCGACTCCGTTTCCTATTTTAGTGATTCCCATATCTTATTTTGGTGTGCATTGAAATATTACTATTTACCAGTGTATGAACCTGTTTTGTGATTCTCCTTCACATGTTTTGGTAGCACGTCTAGTGATCCTCGGTGTCTTTCCAGCCTAATTCTAGTGGTTTAGGCCTCTTGAGATTTGCTAATGGTCTCTACGACCTAACGATTGTTTTTAGCGGAATCAATTAAGGCCTTGTGATTTCTGTGTGTAAAATACAGTCTATATTAGTTGGTATTCATCATAAAGAACTTGCATTTCTTTTATTTCAACCTCATATTTGCATCTTAATATCGAGTATTTCCATTTGTATGAGACAGTTGTCTAGAAATCTCAGTATTTTATCCATTAGAATACAGGATTATTTTATGTTTTGTTTTTTCCAGTATCCGCTTACCTGTGTTCTACCACTTATTGATTCGGTTTCTCCTGAAGTTCTCCGTAGACAAATCCTTCTGGATGATCTCAAAAAAAGGTAAAGTAATTATTTTAGGTGCGGTTTTTATGATCATTTAGTTATACACAACACTCCCATGGAAATATGTGGGGCGTATTTTTTCGTGCTGTGCACCAAACTAGATTTTTCACAGGGAATTACATATGAGGATAGGGCCAATATATGACCCAGTAATTTAGTTATATTTGTCAGTTAAAGCAGATTAATTTGTTGATATGATAAAGTGTATGCATGCATTAAGTGATTGATTATTGATATCAAGTGTTGCCCAGTTTTATTTATTCATAACACAACTACTGACGAGATGAATAAACGATATGTAACCCAGTGTTTCCAAATAATTTTTACCTGATTGTGGGCTTTTGGTTAGTGCATAATAAAATCTTGATCTACAATCTTACCTTCTTTCCCGAATTAAGCCGTATTAATCTTGTTCAGTTATATCAATAGCCCTACCAGTATTTGCCTATTTACACCAAAACGTAATGTGAAGAATCGGAATAATCTACTGTTTACCCGAAAATTATTCTTTTAAAGGATGTATGGAGACAAGGGCCATCAACAAACATGGATTCTTAAATAAGATGGTAATTGCGATTAATAAATCTTTTTTGTAGTCATTTTTGAATAGGTAATTCGTAAACTTAGGAAACTAATCATTAAGCTCGTGTGGTACAAGCCTATATGATGACGTGCAAATAATGTAATATCATTTCAATGTGAGTAGTAAATTCTGAACGTAAAGTTTGGAGTAAAAGTACTTATACTTATAGTCCGTTAGTCACGTTTAATGTGGTTAGGGATGTCCTGTTTACTTTCATCGGAGTTAATTAAATTGGTCTTTTGAACGAGTTGGAATCCTAATCTACCAAGTTTTCAGTAGCTTATAATTGTCTTTCTAATTAGCTGGCTTTTGTTTAAGCTAGCGAATTATTGGTGAGTGGTAAATACCTTCTACTAACACTGTATACTAGTGTGCCTGCCTTATTCTTCGACTGAGTCACAAAATTATTACTTCATTTAGCGTAGAATTCCATGGAGAATTCGAATCAAGCAGTTAATAAAATAATACATAACAGTGAACTAAGTGATTGTTTTAGTATTCACTTATTAAAAAAACCTCAATTTACTTTTTTAAATTCTAGCATGCATTCAATATTAGATGCTTTAAAAATAAATACCCATTGTGTATACAGAAGATTAGAAAATTCTGTGCTTCATTTTAAGTAAGTTTCTCAATTCTTCAACAGATTTATAACTCAAATTTGCCTAATATCGTGAAGTAAGAATAAATCTAATTACTGTAACTATTTTCATAAAATTTACGTTTCTGAAGAAACATCCGTTAGAAATTTTCTTTCACCCACGACCAAAAGATCGTCTTTGTATTGATGAGGATTCGTAACTCAGGTGGACGGTTTTAGTGTCACATTTCCTAAGCTGGGTGGTCTAGCTCCCTTTTTTTCGAAGAATATTAAAGCCTACTTAGAATAGATGTTGTTTTGCGACCATTTTGAATTTTTTCACTGAAATAAAAGTCCGCATCATTCAACGATTAATGCCGTTACATTTCTGTTTAGTTAGTAGTACAGCTTTCGCAGTCATATCTCGTCGCCACAGTTTAATTACTTGTAACATTGGTAGCTGACTTTTATCTCGTCATTCGGTGATGATAAGATATCAATGATTAAATGTCCTATCAATATGTCGGCTGCTTCAGCTGAACTCCGTTGTCAAGATATTAATTCTCTATTGAGACGATACTGCACGAAAATAAGACATCTTTTGAGTAATGGCATGCACTACGTAAATCTAGGAAACTCAAAATGTAATTACATTTTTTCTAATTTTACACTTTCTAATTTCACTACTCATTAGCGATATTTATTTTTTGTCTTGTTCTTTTAGTCTTACAAGTAAGAACGTACATATGAACCCAAACGAAAGTAAATTAATGGCTTTAGTGATCTTATTCCTCATGGCAAACGTAGAACCTGCTTTAGCCCAACTCACAAATGACGAATGTATAACTAGATTTCTAAATTCAATAAATGGACCGTCTTTGTTACTGTTTAAAAATAAGATCATAAACCAGGCGATGACTCTGTACCGTTATGATTCGGATGACTAATCTATTTCAGAACCTTAATGCATCAAAGGACTTATCCCTGTTCCGAAATGTTGGATTTTTTTGGTATCCAACAGCTTCATGTTTGGCCCTAAACATTTACATCGTTTCATGACAGATGTTAGCTAAAGGAAAAAACTGATATGACAAGATCTACATTGGCAAACACTGAACTTGGTGGTTAATGCAGTTGTAAAATAGTAAATATTTTATAACACAAACCAATATTACTTTCTCCGTGTACATGTGCTGCTAATTACTTTTGTACAACAAATAATTTAAATAAAAGTGATGAGAGATTTTTGTAAAGATTAAGATATTACTAGCGCTGCAAAAATGATCAACGTTTATGGATTTTAGTAACGATCTAATAAAGTACTGAGATGTTTCACTAATGTCAGTCGTTCTATTTCATTGTCACATTTAGTACTATATGAATCCTATACTACTATTTTTTTAGATGTATAGAATAGTATCATTTTAAAATATGCTTATAATATTCTACAGTACTGTGTATTCAGATGATATGCTAAATGACCCGTGTTATACTACTAAGAAAACTGCATTTCTTAGGATGATCAAATTTCCCAGTTAGAGTGTAGAATATGAAAAAATTATTTTAATTGTAAATAATGCTTAAGATCGATTCACTTAAGATTTGTAAGGTCAAGATGCAAGCACAACAAAAAATTAACGTCTCAACGGTGTTATGGGAAGCAAATATCCTTGATATAGGTATCCTTACCAAGGTGTGGCTTGGTAGTTTCGAATAAATTGAGCATTGAGTATATTGTTATAAATAGATTAATATATTTGTAATATCCCAATGAGCAGAGAAATTAGATTTTCCGATGTTTCGTGACTCAGTGTAAGCCACTTCTTCAGAGAACGAATAACTCATTGTGATGTTACAAATATATTAATTTTTCCTTGATATAGTTTCTACATAATGATCGAATGAACAATTTCCGTAAAAGGAACTAGCCTTATTTGTAATAGCGTATTTTTAAATTGTTGGTTGAGCTTCGAATGCTAGATTGCTTTTTTCTCAAATAACACTTGCCCGAAAAGCGAAGTATGATTCATTCTTAGCAAGTGTTTTACCTTGCAACTCAACAAATACATCTATTATACCTACGCAGCGATTGGCCATTCTTACTTTGTGAAATACACATTACAATTTTAGTAAATGTACGAGCTATACTTCCTATCAATACATCTCGTTATGTTGAGTGCGTTTTGACAGGTTTTAAAAGAATATATACAAATATCATAATGTTTAAGCAACTGGATCGAGCGGACGATTGAAACCTCCACGACGATTCATGTACTGACGATACTTTCGCTGTTTTGCTATGTTTGCCACATAAACACTGTTACCAATAACATGCTTTCCTTTTGTTGTGCCGAAATTACAGAAACCCATAGTGCGCATCATTTCTGCCTCCTCTTCGGTTACAGGTTCAGTTGGTTCTGCTAAAAAAGTGATGGAGTTTCAGAAATAACCTACCCTCTTCATACTCCACGGTTTCTGTTTCAGCTGTAGACATGGGGCTCCTAGAGCGTGTACGACGCTTCCATCTTTCGTCGTTATGATTTTGTTCATGTCTTCGTCGACTATCACGGTCTCTGCGTTTTTCTTTTTCATGTCGGTATCGGCTTCTTTCTACATCTCTTTCGTCACAATCGTATCCGTGGTCGCGATCTCTTCGATGGTAGTCTTCTCGGTGTTTACGAGAACGCTCACAATTATCATTACGATCCCTGTATCGGTCATGAGATCTTGATCGAGGGCGTTTGTCATAATCTGTAGATACAAGAAAAACACTAGATTATGTGACCATATTCCAGATTATATTTGTCTAGAATTATATAGAAATATATAATGTCTTAGAGGGCAGTTGAACTCAAAGTGATTCCTGACTTAAATGTGAGTGACCAGTCTTTTCGATAAGAGAGTGAGACAGGGGGTGTAGAACTTGGATAGCTTTGTAAGTGCAAAAGGCCTACTTAGAGAAAACACAAAACACGCCAAAATCAATTACTTGTGGATTAGAATACTGCAATGGAGGGTCTGAAAGTTTTATATTTTGCGCTTCAAAATAATATCAAGACCGATTACAACAAATATGTCAATTTATCAGTTGTATTCATGAGTGGATTTAAGCTAGATCACCACTGAAAACATTGGATGGTCGACTTGTCCTAGTATGGGACTCCTCAAGATGTATTTCCTGGAGTTCTAGTGAGAAGCCGCGATCAGTGGAGTTCAACCGTTTTTGTTGTGAGGTGGTTACTCACTGAAGACGATGGTGGACAGTTGGGGTTACACATTAACACCGTTGGTTGCCGAGTCAGTGGTCTAGACATTAAGCATTCGTGCTGTCCTGGGTTCGAGTCCCGTGTGCGAGACCGTGGGTGCACACTGCTGAGGAGTCTCATACTGTGACGAAATGTCCGTCCAGTGCTCCCAGGTTTTCAATGGTGATCTAGCCTTTATCGGCTAATGAATCCAACTATTAAATTAATACTATATTAATGTAAGGGCATTTCTTGATGCTATCCCCATCAAAGTTCAATATGAATACGCAAGTGACGATATGTTATCAAAATTCATTTTCCGAAAGCTTGCACAAATATGGCAGTCCGTATAACCATGATCGGTAAGTTCGCAATATTCAGATGGAAACCGAGACGTGATATAAAATTATTCTTACCACCTGCTTAGCATATAGCGATAATGATGCACAAGTTCGCGTTTCCGTCTACAGCCCTACTTGGAAAATTCTAAGAGTCAATATAAATGACTATTTTGAAGTACACATGTTCAAAATAAACTTGTTATATTCGAAGAGTCACTAGGTGTCACCGAAACTACGTCGCCTCCAAAAAACTAAGGGAAAATGTAGTGATTTAGGCTTCTGAACTCTACTTCTTAAAGTAATTAGTGATGAAATTGATACGGTGACTTTTTGGACTCAGGTAAATATACGTCGAGGTAAAAAAGAAAGAACCCTAACGTCAAGCTAATGTTCTGAGTGTATCAACGGGAATAGTTCAATGGAATCAGTACATTCGGTTGATTAACAGACAACGTAACATTAAGACTAGTTTCTGGTGCACGACAAAGCTTATGAAAGGAGCGAGCTGTTTGAAATTCATATGTTAAGAACAGAGCCTGAAGATGAAGTTTGCACTGAATCTGATCAAATATTTGCAAAAGCTAGTCCCGAAGCAATTAAGCTAAGGAATTCGTTTAATTGACTAAAGAGGCTTTTGTCAATCAGTGAGTGAAAATGTGATTCAAGTGTCGACTCGAAAACTGGCATGCAGCTAGGCGCTACACAAAATTGACGGTTGTTCAATACAAGTTAACTCGTGTTTCATACATAAAACCATTCTTGGACAATCCCAACTAGTTAACGCAAATGCGTCAAAATATGCCTGCATGGGTGGTAGACACGCAAGTTTGGACAGCCATTTATATTCTTAGTTCATACCAAAGTTGAGTGATCAATTAAAGAAGGCCAAGGCCGAACACTTCTCGCTTTAGACCGTCTTAAAATGGTACGAGCGTTATTAATAACTACGCAAATGTAGAGAGATGTACAAGGATCGCTGTCTACGCAAATCGTACAATACGAATTGGAGGGAAATATATATCTAGGTTGTAAGCATTTGTTTGAATCAGAACCAATTCTGAAGACAATTTCTGGTGGCCGTGTTGTTATTCAATGGAAGATCCATGCCCTCCCTCCGAAGTCCTACAGTGGCTTAGTTATAATATGTAAGGTATCAAGAACTAAAATGTGAGTAGGTAAAGTCTTCTTTTAAGCGAGTCAACAGGACTGTGATTACAGAGGGAGAGCATACTTCTAAGTGAAGTGATAGCTTAGTGGTTAAGTCAATCATTAGGTCGCCGCTTTTATCTTAGTAATCTAGTAGTGCTATTGGCTATTAAACCAAATGTAAGAAGAAGTTGACTACATTAAATCTGCACTTGACATTGGGATAGAAATATTAAAATATGAGAGGGAGTAGAATATTCATGTACTTATTGCCGAGAGAAGTGATAGTATATCAGACATTTCCGACCCGGAAAATGCAATCTACACGATTAATTATTGATAATAAAAGGGTGAGATTATAATTTATGGAGGAACCAATCAGATTTACGATAACAATTCCTGACGCGAAACTAATTCCTTCATTTGGTTAGTTTTGGCATTATAACTGACGTCAGCTCGTGATGAAAAAGCTTTATTTAATTCTTAACCTTAAATATCAACTGTAAATATTAACCCTAATTCCTTACACTTGTTTATAACCCTCATACTGCCGTAGTATGTAGGTGGATATTCTCAAGGTCTATATAGCGTTGCTCAGAGGTCGTCCATAAACTAATCTCACCAGCAAAATACTAGAAAGTAAAAGGAAAGCTTATTGATAAGACTGTAGTTCACATGTTTTGAAAATCTGAGTGCCATACACAGCTTTCAACTTTTTCGTTATAAAATACATAAACACGAACCCATTAAAATGACTGAGAACTGCAACCTAGCACCTGAAAATCAGATGTATAACTGAAGTCACAGTTTTTGATTTTATTCCAAGACTTCACGATAGTATAAGGAGACCACTAAAATATATTCCAACACACCTCTTGGCATCCTATTTTACAATTTTTTCCCTTGGCGGGTCTTTGAAGGTCAATATCCACAAATGTCTCATCTGGTTCAAATAATGGTGAATGATGTAGGAGATGCAAGTGATATTATTAAGTAGAGGCCTAGAAATATGAAAAAAAGATGAACAATTGATATTATGTCCAATATCCAAAACCTTTGTCACGAGCTTGTATAAAGAGATTGATTTCTTTGCAATATTTACTTGTTGTTTCTGTACTGTTCCAGTTATTCGGTAATGTCTAATGGGCGGTAGTCAAGCAACTTGATGGTATTAACTCCATTCACTTTTGTCAACTTGTATATTTTGTAGGGTTTCTGGTTACCAGAAGCTATCACATTAACTGATAGGTTGGTTGATTGTTCCGTAAAAGTAATAAAGTGAAAATCCGAATGTTAGAAGATGATTGTCTCAAGTAATAAGCAAATGAACCAGTAACTTAATTATTTGGTGATGTGGACATTGTGAAAAGACCAAAGGAGAAACGAGGAAAACAATAAGCGAGATACGATGTAGTTAATGATATGTCGTAATGTTAACAGTAGTTGAATCATGAGACACATCAGGCACAGTTGTTCGAAGTGGGATACTGACACTCTCAGATCATCGTTTATTTTTCTACCACTCATGAAGAACAATCACGTGTTGGAGCATGTCTCCGTAAGTTTTATTCTTTGTACCTATCAGCCACTCAGATGCCTATCTTTGTACTTGGTCCAAGAGATTTATGTCTATTTCGAAGAGAGATTATGGGACACTAACTCGGTGAATATGCCAAGTTGTCATTGCTTAAAGCACGGAGTTCCATTGGCGTTGCCTGCATTTCCGGTGTATTTTTAGTTAGTGTCCAGGTTCTTTGTGGTCATTAGCTGCAGATTGTACTCTAAAGAAACAAACGGGGGTAAGTTTCCCGTAAAGGACCGTGAAGCTCCTGATGTCGAGACCCTGCAATTTATGTGCACTCTGATTATCCTAAGGCAAAACATACTATACTTTAGGTAGTTCTGAAACAAAGATAAAAGTGGATTACTGATACCTATCTTTTCAACTTTTCATGTTTCAGATTGGCCCGATAAATTCGAATCCAAATGAAAGTATTTGTTCTCCCAGTCTACGTCATAGACCTTTTACATTTTTATGGAGGCACTTGATAACTTATCTTATCACCTGCTGTTGGTCTCTAGCGGGACAAGGGTCCCTGTTGTCCTGCATCGCGGGTTGTTGAAAGAGGTCAAACGACAATGAGATTTGTCGTTTTCTCTTGATTTCTTTTTGATCTATTTCGCCCCTTAACATCTGACGTGACTTAAATCATTCCATTAAATTAACCTCTAGCAGTCGAGCATTAAATAAAATCAGAACTCTTCATCAAACGTCTTCATACTCAATGTTCAGCGTTTTGTGGGCATAAGGAAATCTCGAGTCTCTTCATGAGTGTGCCCCACAATATGTTAGTTATCTTGGAATGATGAGAAGTTTTAGGCCAGGACACCGAGTTGTCGCTCACAAATTCTACCAAAAAGTATCTTTCGCAAGCATTTTATTTACTGGATGAAATTTGGAACTTGCCATGGTTTATTCAGGTGATTATATATTCAGACGGTTCAAGTTATACTGGACGGAACACTAGCAGCTGTTGCTCAGGTGATATACCTATCTAGTAATAGGGGATCGCCAATGCCTTAAGGTGAGCACCAACGTATAATTACAATTAAAGCCGAAATTTTAAAAGAAATTATGGTTAAATACTGTATTGGGTCTTTAGGAATATGTCAAGTTTTTGCTTGAAGGACTTCTGGGAAGTCATTTTGATCACCTCACTCTGCAATGAGCTCCCGAATCTGTGCACCTGCAAAGAGCAAAGTTTGTGTCTACAGTCCATCCAGCAATTTTGTGCCTTTAATATACCGGTGTTTATCTCTATCTCACTGAAATAAGGTCAACATTTAAGGGGGGTTCTCAGGAGTTTTTAGGACGCTATAAGTTATTAGAAGACCACCTCTTAGATGCCTATACTCTGATAGTAAACATTCAGTGGTCAATTTTAAGACCTAAAACTGATTTAGCGTCTCGTCACTGATTACATTCCAGTGTATTCTCATTACTTCGAAGTGAGGGAAAACACTGTATGTTCATACTCTAAATGTGTTTGAATGAATCTGCCGAAGTTTTGCTATCAAACTGGCCGAAAATGCACTTCAACGTTGGCAGTTCAGGGTCTGCTCTAGTGATATTCTTGGTTAGATCTCTTTCAACCCGGGACATCTCTACAGGGCGGTTGGCTAATTTGAGTGGGACGTATATCATCTACTTCACCAAAAATGTTTAAAAAGTCAAAATGTAAGCCATCAACCTTCCCTCTGCCATTAAAGGTGGTAGTTCATCCGACCACAGCTGTCAACAGGTTTGTTGTATAGGAGTAACTTTTCCTGAAACCGCGCTGTTAGGGGTGAAAATATGTTTATAAACAATAAGTAGTCACTTAGAACGTCATATATACGTGATGTAATGGACGGTGTATAAAATCTGATACTGATACATAATGTGCCACGCTCTAAACCAACAACTTGTAGAATTATGGCCCGCTAATTTATCAATAATGCTAATTTGTCATGATGTGACTACCTTATCGATCAAATCTCACTCGAAGACATATTATTGTCTACTCTGACTCGTCTTGTTATAAGCATCACCAATATATGATGGAGAACATATTTGGACTGGAGACAGAACAATATATTGATTATAAATAGAAACGAAAAGCTACACAAGAATGACCACGCTTGCATGGCTGAGTCATGCCATCCCAGTGGATCTGGAATAATTATTATTTTCGCGTTCTCCATTGTTGACCTTCTTTTCGTGTTAATTGTTAAATATCTAGTTTCTCAGTTATCTCATGTTCAGCTTTGAGGACAATGTGGTTAGGGCAAATACCACTACAAACTTGCTGCTATGTAATTGCATATTCGTGACTCGGAAGTCACGAGGCTGATTCCCATTCTGACGACCAGAGCAACAATTAATTTAGGTACATGGAATGCTCGTAAATGTGAGAGACCAGGATAGTCATTCAAGTTGCTGAAGAAATGAGGAGATACAATCTAGATGTGCTTGGGATCAGTGAGACACGTTGGACGCAAGTTGAACAACAACGATCAGCTTCGGGGGAGCTTCTGTTATACTCCAGCTATCAAAAAGAACATGCCTACATACACGGGAAGTTGCATTGATGCTGTCCGAACAAGCACAAAATGCACTTATATGATGGGAATCTGTGGTGTTTGAATGAACTAATGATGCCTTAGTACTTGTTGAATGCTTGATTAGGAATTCTAAATACATTAAATTCGCTTGCGCTTATCTAGTACTTCTTGATTCAATTGCGTTATTTCTGTGATTCCTAGTTCATACTACAATTCAAATAATTCGAAACATTATATTGGCGTCGCGATGGAGCCTGCGATGGAAAAGCTAGATATTCATTCAACTTCTGAAGCTTTTGAGGATTATTTGGAAAGTTTCAAAATCAGGGCTATGACCAAGGAAGATGATGAGGATATTATTATTATTATTATTATTATTATTATTATTATTAATTGTAGCACATTTCCTCACACTCATCGGAAAAGAAGCATATAACTTATTAAAAACTCTAGCTATGACGGAAAAGCCCATTTCGCTTCCTTATACAGCTCTCAAGGAACTACTGCTAGACTGTATTCAGTATACAAACTTCGAATGTGGTAAAGGAGGAAGATCTCGTAAAATGATTCATGAGGATATAAAAAATTCCAGTGCATTACGTCATCCCAACATGGTGCATACCAAGGTTATGCAGATAATTCATTGAGGAGTTGCAATGAATTTCACGAAGATGGGCACATGTTTGGTAGGTGTTTGTCCTGTGGCAGTTTCCAATATTTTAATCCACGTAAATTTCGTAATCCTAGATGTTGTAAATGTGGTGATATTGAACATATTCAGTCAGTCTGTAATACTTATGTTCATCTTATTGCAACTAATATTAAGATTTGTAATTTTGATTCTACTAAGTCGAGTATTTATAATGATGATTTATCTTTGTCAGCAATTGCAATAGACAATGTAGAGTCACATAGCAGTTCAGAGTTAAATGAAACTCAGAATTCTTGCGAGACAACAGTTCTTAATCAACCAACTTATCAGATTTCTCATTTTATTGTACCAGATATGGTTTTTCCTAATGATTCACTCATTTCTGACGAAATTCCTTACAAATCTGAGGAAAATATGTTGAGTGAACATGATTATGATCGAAAATCTGATGTAGTTTTGATGGATGCTGATTTTTCTAACGATCCTATGCTCTGAAACGACATTCTTAATACATTTGAGGAAACTATTTCAGAAGAATCAAATCTTGATATCATATCAAATATTATTTGTCCTCATAATCAGTTTCAGTTTCAGTTTGGGAAGGACAGGAGGCTCGATGGCCTATGTTAGTCCTGGCAATTTGTTTCTCGTGGAAAACTTGTTCAATGCGAAGCACGAGTACTAAATGAGCTCGATTTCGATTACAGTTCAGATGATTTCATACCAACTGCTGTTTATCTTAATCACGAAGTCACTTCTAATATTTACTTTGGTCAGTGTGAGAAATATGTTTTAAATGAAGTCACATCATTCATAACTTGCGGATATAAAGATCCAACATTATTTCGTGGGGGAGGATAGTCTAAGTTTATGGTTCAAATTCTAGGTAGCAGCGGTTTCAGTACACAACCGACATGCTGATTACACAATCCCAGGAGGCAGGTGAGTCTGTTCCGATTTCGTTTGTCCGTTCCAATACTAATGAGCACATTCTAGATACTACAAAGTTTTGTCCAATACGCTGTCGGACAGACACAGGATGGACTTAAGAAGACGTACGATCGAATAAAAATACTTAGACTCTAATTTAAGCTGTGGCGGATGTGGTGTTTGAATGAACTAATGATATCTTTGCACTTGTTGAAAGCTTGATCAAGAATTCTAAATACAGTACATTCGTTTGTGCTTATC